TAAAGAATGCTTTCAGCACCTTGTTGAATCAATGCCACGTAGAATTAAGGCAGTTCTGAAGGCGAAAGGGGGTCAAACACCGTATTAGTACGGTGTTCCTAATAATCCTTTAGGTGAGTGTATATACATATACACACACACACACACAGTGTATATACTGTACTGTATAAACTTTTCGTTGGCTTTATCTTTCTTATTTACATGTTTACTATTGCTATTGGGCTCATAATTTTAGCTATGGAAATAACCCCCAGTGGCCACGACGGGAGGCAAACCTGGGACAAGTTTACTTTTCCCTGTTCCTTGAAGGGACCAGAAGCACAGAGCAGATTGCAGAAGCTCATCAAAGACGACATCAGCATCAAAACAACAGGATGTGATGGACAGATGATCACAATCCCGTCGTATCCAATCACAACACCTGCAACAAGAGAAACCGTTGAGTTCTCCCCCTCTATTTTTAGATAAAATAACCTCCATCCCTCCATCAATCTTCCAGCTACTTAAACCTGGACAGGAGCACGGATGATGCAATATTCAGGGTCAAAAAGTACAGACTGAATTTTACAAACAATATCTTGTTTCCAAAGATTATCAAACAAAGTATAGTATGCATAATAAAATAGTTATAAAATAACTGCCTGGCGTGGGTTTAAGCGGATCACGGTCTGAGACCCAACAGACAAAAACCTGGCACCTGCAGCAGTGTGTGCCACAAGATAAAGAGAAAAGTCCGGAGGATCCTAAGCAGAAGCAGGGCGCCATGTTGATGTTTTCATGTCACACAGTTAGCGACGCCCACACAGAGAGGAAGTTCTGCACACAGCGTTGGACAGCACTCACGCTGTATTGCATTTTCTCTCCGCTTAGCGGTTGGCCATATTTTCGAAAACATTAAATGTTACAATTTCGGCGCTCACACAACAGGACCACGGGGACCGTCGGAGGACCTGTCAGAGGAACATATTTATATATTCTTCTGAGGCGAAACCAGACCTGTCCTCTCCCGCCATCCCGCTGATGTCCTTTCCAGCGACACAGAGGACACTCCTCTGTCCCTTTCCGTTTGGGAGGAGTGAGAATGGCGACCATGCAAACGAGGGAACGGTAATCTCTAACCGATAAAGCTGCCCTAATAGGCCACAGAGACAAGCGGGCTGCTGGCTGAAAAAATGTAATTACAAGCTTAGCGGGGGGGGGGCGCTCTTTTCATGCTGGAGGGGGAGGGCGGCTTCAGACCTTCACATTAGCTTCACGCTGAGCAAAGCGGGCACTTTCCTTAACTTTAAATAACCATTATGTCGTTTATACATCTGCCCAGGTTTGTATAAAGATTACAAATATTTGGCTAAACGCATTACACAAGGGACAATGCAAACAGAGACAGACTACTAATTATCATAAGCAGACGCACTGTAATTATATGTCTAATGTGATTTAATAGTACGATTGTGACACCTGAAGATGATATACAGTGTTTTTCACACTGTATATTTACTCGTGTAAATGTCCTCCTAGCCGAACTGCTTGCTACATTTGAATAAAGATTTCGATGTACAAATATGCTAATATCCGTCATGTTTTTTATACTGATTCTGTAAAACATGTTGATGCTTCAGGGGAGGGAACTGTACCGTACATATTTCCTTAGCAACCGTTTAAAACAACCCCGCATTGCTGAACTTAGCAATCATAGGCTATTTTCATTAACGTGTTCATTTTTAACGGTTTATACTTTATAGGGGGTATACTGAGTGAAGGGAATCGACAGGCCATTATCTGTGAGCCAAAACAATAAAACGTAACATATTAAGGTAATTACAGTTTTTTCTTTTCAAATCGAAGAGGAATACAGTTCATTTCCGCTGCTGAAAACAGGCTAAAATATGCCAGTCAGCTTCCACAAAAGCATGATACTCCATTTACCATTCCTAATGTATAAACGAGCCGAACCCCAGCCACATCGCTCATGCTCGATTCGGTTTTCCAATCGAAGGCTTGGCTCGGTAATGGCGGAGTTTGAAGCAAACAGTCAAGTAAAACCGAAGAGACGCATATGTTTACTGTTCACACGGTGTACATCATGATTTAATATGTGCAATTATTACTATTATTTAATGGGTGGTAATTTCCGCTACCAAGCCTGTGAGAATCGTTGTGCTTGCAATTATCAAACACCAGCAGAAATGGCATTCGCTTATGTACATTTGCATTACGAGTACACTCCTTTCTGTTGTTTTATAGTACTTTCAGTATGAGGTTGGAAATTTTCAAATTCCGAGCAATCGGGAAAGCATTCATACGTCGAGATTTGTGATATTACTAATAATGAATAATATCAAGGCTCTCAAGTTTCGTCAAAAGTTTGGAGTGAGATTACATTGGGGGCGAAACGTGCTTACCGCAGTCATTGGATCTTGCTTCTCCACTTCCACCTTTTCTGCATACCAACTGTGCGCATCCATGTAATAACGTGCTTGCATCGGGATCACATGTAGGCTAACTTAGGGTGACCAGATAATCCATGTCAGGGAGGACACTTTGAGCTACTTCGGGTTTTACAAACTACTTTCAAATTGAAAGGCTCCTGTGCTCGGCTAAATAGTTCAGCTCTTCTTGTGCTTTGACTGGTTTGTTTCCTTGACTGAAAGACTCATCCAGCTGTTTCACATTAGCATTAGTGACACATGCATGATTATAGGAGACTGACCAATCAGCACACAGCAAGAGCTCAGTGCTCAAGTGAAATCCAGGTCCTTTTAATTGAAATGGTAATTTACAATTCCTGTCCTAGCTCAGAGTGTCCTCCCTGACATGGATTATCTGGTCACCCTAGGCTAACTCATGTTGGAAATAAATTTACCCAGATACAACAAATGCTAGTTTTTGATTGGCTGGTAGTTGGCTATTAACTAATAACTCGGGGCAGCTATGAACGCCGCGGAAAACTCCACATGCCAGCACATTGTCCATTAATTTTATATAATGGGGCACCTTAGTGGGCATAATTGTACCTACCCGGTTGAATTATCGAAACAGCTCAAGAACTGATGATTCAGAAAAAATTGGCTTTATTTCTTGAATTCACCGCATGAGCTGTCAAAAGGAAAGAATAAAAATTAAAATTAATTAATTTTCCCACAACTTTCATGTACAGACGGGTATAAACATAAATAAGCTTATTTTAGATTATGCTGCATATGTTAAACTTTACAGATAAATACGTTTACCTTGTTCAACCTATATACCAGGCAGTGACGTGTTTTATCGTTTAAACCGTCATTACTCAATCACGCTTCTTCCCTTTCTCCTTCCCATGAGCAATAACATGCTTTATAGTTTGTGAACAAACTAAACCGGTGTTCTGTCGAGTTGAGCTACTTTGTCGAGTTAGGGTACCGTAGTGCTAATCGATAGCCCTAACCTATAACTCTTACCCTAACCCCCCAAAAAACCCTAAAACCCTTACCTGAACCCTAACCCTAACCCCTAAAACCTAACCCTAATCCCAAAACGGTGGTACTGCACATGCGCAGAAAGGCTCGATAGCATGTCTCGAAACACGTGCATTCGCCAAAATAAAAGTCTTTACAGCATTCGCATAAAAATGGAACATATAGGAAAATGCGTGAGTTGCAAATAAAAGAGGGGGGGTATTAAACCCTAAATAAGAATTCCTTGATTCATGGCTATTTACACTGATCCCTTACTTCTCAGCCTGAGAAACACAAGGTGTGGCGTGTGAGCATGTGAACAGGTTTAAATGTGGGGTCAATGCGTGAGACTTGACACACAGCTCTGAATAATAGGCTATATGTAATATACACATTTTCCTTCATATTATCTATGCACAGAATACTGGTATCCCCATGCATTTCGACTAATCAGGTATATAGTGGTGACGCACCCAGCTCGGTATGGTCACGCTTTCGGCCCTGCTTGTCTGTACCATACGGCAAGCATATTTTGCAATGGAAACCGGTCAGTTCACGTTACCGGTCGGGTACAGCTCGGTTCCTTCTGGCAGTGGAAAAGCACCGACCCATTCCGGGCCAGGAAACCTGCACCAAGTCCCAACAGTTTCATCAAGCTAGAACTGCTCGAAAGCCAAAGCCTTCATAAATTGGTATAAGTCAGCCAGGTGTGTCTACCAAGATATGTGTTGTTGCGGTCTTTTAACCTACTGACAAGCTGGGGTGGCCGCTTGGGACAAAATGTCACACAGTCCTTTAAAAGTAATGGAAAATTATGAACCTGCTCTCACCCTGTTACTTATATATTGTGGCGTCTGTGATCCAAGCGCCGTCTGGTCGATTTGCACATGTCGCAGCATGCCCCGCGTGCAAGTTGTAAATAGCCCTAGTATTGCTGTTGTTATTATTATTATTATTAATGGTTATATTCCTTAATGTCGCGTGTGTGTTTGCCCGTGTCTTGCGTGTACCCTGTCCGATCCTCATGTGTGATTAGCTTCCATAAATCTCCCACCATGTGTGTATCTTAGACTTCTGACAACCCTGTGTTTCTTATGTGTAATCAGTTTTGGTGGTCGTTGGATGCCTGATGTAGTCCTTTTCAGGACTGCTAATAAAAGAGCTTTGAATCAAACTGCATTCTCAACGTGGCATTATGGCTGGAGTCAACAGATAACGCAATGGGGATCTTGAAGAGGAAATTGCAGAGCTGGAGCAGGAGATTGTCAGTGGACTGCACGTCAGATGTCGGAGACAGGTGCCTGAGGGAGCCAGTGGACCCAGAGCTCCCAAACAGGAGAGAAGACCCAGTGATCTGCCACCAAAAGAAACCCTGCTCACTCCACCACCACCAGCCGTCCGTCTGCCGAAGTACAGTGGGGACCAACGCTGGGAGCTATTTGCTGTATAGCTAGAACTTGCCTCCAAGAACAATGCCTGGGATGACCAGACTGCAACTGTCCACCTTGGCCTGGCACTGGAAGGAGGGGCCCTCCAAGTCCTCTTGGACGTTGCACCAGGGGCTTGTTTCTCTCTCGCAGAACTGACGACAGTCCTAAGGCAGCGGTTTGGGAGTGGCGGAGGGGAACTGAGGGCCCGTCAGCTTTTTGGCACCCTCCAGCGGCACAGAGGGGAGCGGCTTGGAGTCCTGGCTGCTGACATCAGAGCACTTGCCCGCCAGGCATATCCCAACTACCCTGCAGTAGTGCAGGAAGACCTAGCCCTGCAGGCCTTCCTCTCAGTCCTTCTTCCGGACCGCCTACAACAACAAGTGCGGCTGTTAGCACCAGTTAGCGTACAGCAGGCACTCGCTGAGGCACCCCACAAAGATGCTGCGGTACGTTCAGTGGCTCGGTGGGATAGTGACCCTCCCCCCAATGATGCAAGGATCATCTGCTGGCACTGTGGAAAGAGAGGGCACCGGGCTAGCTTCTGCCCTGAGCCCACTACCCTGGCCTCTGACCATTGCCGCAGGCAGCAAGACCCCACCCACCGGAAGCTCGGTCAGCATGTACTTGCCCACCAGCTCCGAACTCTGCAGTAGCTCTGCTCCAAGCCCCAGCGACCCATCCGCCCCCGCCGACTACCTCTTGTAAAAAGGGTTGCCACTGAAGAGAAGGTCCGGGAGATGCTGGCCTCCGGAATCATTGAGCCATCCACCAGCCCGTGGACTGCCCCTGCTGTCCTAGCTAAGAAGAAAGATGGCACCTGGCAGTTCTGCGTGGACTATCGCAGGCTCAACGCCATCACCAAAATGGATTCTTATCCCCTGCCCTGTATTGATGAAACCCTTGATACCCTAGCCGGCTCACGGTGGTTCAGTTCACTGGATCTTCGTAGCGGTTACTGGCCGGTGGAGCTGTCCCCGGAGGCCCGTGAGAAGACGGCCTTCACCTTGGGGCGAGGTCTGTGGCAGTTCCGGGTTCTTCACTTTGGGCTTTGTAATGCCCCTGCTACCTTCGAGCGGCTTATGGAACGGGTGCTTGAGGGGATCCTGGAGAGCTGCTGTGTTGTCTACTTGGATGACCTGCTCGTCCATGCACCCAACTTCAGTGATGCAGCAGCCAACCTACGGCAGGTGTTTGAGGCTATCCGCCGAGTGAATCTACGGCTCAATCCGGCTAAGTGTAGCCTCCTGCAGCGGTCTGTCAAGTTCCTG